AAAAAAAAGAAAAAAAAACATGTAGGTTAATTAAATGGTTATGGAGAGGAGCGCAGACCAAGCCGTAACAGCTTGAACCCGACGCATGGCGCACTACTTGGCCGTGTCGTCACACCGTTCCATGGGTTAGTGCAGGCGGTAGACGAGGGTACAGGCTACTATCGTTCTCCCTATTATAATTCTATGTACACTATTCAGCTGAAAATGCAATATTTTTAAGTTATGGAAAATGTATCTCACAGCGGTCTATACTTTATTTCTTCTTCTCACAAACTGAAATTAAGCGAACTACTAGAATTTTTTGCAACCGGGAAATGGCGGACTGATTTCTCCATGGTGCTTTTTAAAATAATATACAAGATCAGAGTATTTTTAAATCTACCAATTGGTGCCGAAAAGGCTGTTGATTGTGGCTGGGAATGACTGTCCCATCTCTTCAATGGCTGTGCAAGTGCTGGATTTAGAAGGTAGAAACTGAACACGCTGTCGTACACATCGATCAGCGCATCCCAAAACGCTCAATGAGTGACATGTTTGTGAGTATGCAGGCCATGGAAGAACTGGGACATTTTCAGCTTCCAGGAATTGTGTACAGATCCATAACCCCACCCCCACCATGGGGCAATCGTTCAGACAATCCTGCAGGTGAAGAAGCCGAATGTGGAGGTCCTGGGCTGGTGTGGTTACACGTGGTCTGCGGTTGTGAGGCTGGTTGGATGTACTGCCAAATTCTCTAAAATGATTTTGGAGACAGCTTATGGTAGAGAAATGAACATTAAATTATCTGGCAACAGCTCAGGTGGACATTCCTGCTGTCAGCATGCCAATTGCACGCTCCCTCAAAACTTGAGACATCTGTGGCATTGTGTTGCGTGACAAAACTACACATTTTAGAGAATGGCCTTTTATTGTCCCCAGCACAAGGTGCACCTGTGTAATGATCATGCTGTTTAATCAGCTTCTTGATATGCCACACCTGTCAGGTGGATGGATTATCTTGGCAAAGGGGAAATGCTCACTAACGGGGATGTAAAGAAATTTGTGCACAACATTTGAGAGAAATAAGCTTTTTGTGCGTATGGAACATTTCGGGGATCTTTTATTTCAGCTCATGAAACTAAGGCAACACTTTACATGTTGCGTTTATATTTTTTGTTCAGTATAGATGGCTTTCTTTAGTTGATTGGTAATGTTCTAAACCCCTTCTCTCCATATATTCTAGTGAGTCTGCCGACAGAATTCTAACTAAAGGTACACCAAATTTAAAAGGATTGCTTTAGATAAATGTACTGAAAACCCTGCCAGAAAATCTGTTGGCCAGCAAGTGGGAGGGTTATCGGCGATTTAATTAAATGTATTCAGCACGCAAGGGAAGGCCATTACGCACCTGCATATGGTAAGTCTGAACACCAACTACTGAGAAACGGGTAGAAATGGCGTGCGTAGGAAAGGCGTACATTTTAAAGTCAAAATCGGCCCCAATAAGAACTGTGGTTTTGACTAATCACAGAAACCTGGTTAGAGCTAGTCATTCTAGAGAGTTTCTCTCTTGTTAAATCTACACTACTCCCTACACTGTCTTTCTAATAGAGTTGTGTCTAGGTACACTACTCCCAAGATAAACAGTTTCTGTCTAGTTAAATGCACAGAGGTTATAGGGTGGTTACCGGGGTCAACGTTACAGAACGTTCAGATATAAACATATCACGCAGAAAATACATTCTTCTATGTCTATGGAGAATACACAATCATTGTGTCTTGAAACTGTATTTATCTGCAGCGTTCTGAACGTTTCACCACTTCTGAACAAATCCATATATTACAATGAAATACACAATCTCTAATTTTGACCCACCACCCCCCCAAACTCCCTCTATTGGTCAGGTGGAGAAATGACATCCCATATCACTGTCACCTCCTATTGGTCCAAAGGTAGAAGCATCACATTCTACTCTTCTCCTATTGGTCAGACCAGAGTTGTATTTATATTTTTTTTTAGTTACAAATATGTGTACCATTCAGTAGGTAACAACATTTGGAAATGAGTTATTGGCTGTATTATTTCCGCCAAACAAAATGTTTTAGTTGCTAAATGTTTTGTCCAACAGAACGAAACGGAGCGGAACCTACCAGAATGTTGTCCAATAGGAACTCTTGTTTTAGTTGCAAAACTAAAATGTTTTGTTTGGCAGAATGAATACAGCCCAGCTAGCATCTCCCTGTTTCACTCTGTTTCAAAAACGTTTTCTCCTGTTCTGTTAGTACAGAGCACAAGCAGCAAACCTGGTTCCAAATACGAGACAAATTGTTTCAAATACTTTCAGTGTTTCGTTGACTCTGCCTGAAGTGCCAAATGGATGGGGGGGGGGGGGGGGGGGGGGGGGGGGGGGGGGGACGGGGGTGTCCGTTTTGGGGCTTTTCTATCAGTTAGTTAAGCCAGGCAAGCTCAAACAGGCACAGATAAAGTATTTCAATCTATTTATCGAGAATCTTTAGTATTTGAAACCCAGGTCTGATAAACATCACAACTACCCTACTTAGGGTTGCAAAATTACTGTAATTTTCCCAAAATTCCTAGGTTTTCCATAAATCCTGGTTGGATGATTCCGAATTTCCTGCTTATTCTCTTATGATTCTGGGAAACTTTTAACAAGGATTTCCGGAAAACCTGGGATGTTAGCAGAATTTTGGAAGCGTAGACCCCCAGGCTCCAGACAGCGAGAGGTAAAGACGGGAAGACATGCTTGGTAAAGTAGGTAAAGTATACAAAAGTCCAATAAATACGTTTACAAATATCACTTCGAAAATAACAAACAACAACAACAATTCCTGTGGTCGGTATTTTTTCAGTCCCAGTGTTCCCAAATGGCCCTATTCGTGGTACTTATATATGTCCTATTTCATGTGTGAATCGGAAATGTTTTGTTTTTTTTGCATATCCCAACTCTCCCTGAGACACCCTCCGATAGTGGGGTCATGGCTAGGGGATCAACCATTATTGACAGCGACCCTGGACCAGTAAGTGCCTTGCTCAAGGGCAGTATGACAGATTTTTTTCACCACGTCGGCTTGTGGATTCTAACCGCTAGGCTACCTGCCTGACCATTATTATTTTGTAGATCAATCAGTCCAAAATGCATTTGATACAGTTGAACACAGTCAATATCTTACCCTGAATCAAAGGTTAGGGGATACATTTTAACCTACCCTACCCAGAGGTAATATCCATGTAGAGAGAGCGGAAGACTGGAGTGGATTTGGATTCGGTCTGGATTGGAAGCGCTTCTGTTAGTGTTATTGTTGCTGGTAAAACTGAAAGAGTTTATAAAACATCCTTAAACGTTGGATTAAAAATCATCTGTAAAATCCTGGTATCTGAAGACTGTTGGACATCATGTGCTGGTAAAAGGTTGTACTGGAGTACAAGGTGCTTCCTTGAGAGAATACGGTTATTTTAACCCTGGTTCCATTTGGTTGGTAGTTATCTCTGGTACAGACACAGCAGAGATGGACTGGCCATGGACCGGTGTGTTAGAAATGCCCGGGCCGGTTTCTGGTCCCAGTCCGTTCCTGCATGGTGGGGTGGTGGTTTTGGACCCTGAATAACTGAGCAGAGACTACCACTGTTCCCATCTGGTGGTACTCTCAGTCCGTCTGTCTGTCCGTCCGTCCATCTGTCTGTTCCTATTTGTATTTACAGTCTTCATTGTAACAACATCTATTGTCAGCCTGTCTGTCTATTTCTATTTACAATACATTGAAGTGGAGTCTGTTGCTGTGGAGCACGGTACAATCTACATTTCAGCACTGCCCGTGGTTGGTGTTTGAATACACTACAGTCGTTCAATGCAGTCCGTGGTTGAATGCACTACATTCTAACATTCTACATCCTGCTAGCTAGCCAGTCAGCTACACATCCAGGTGAGGACAGAGAGAGAGAGAGAGAGAGTTCCTTAAAGAGAGAGAGAGTTCCTTAAAGAGAGAGGTCTCCAGTGTTCTTCAGTTTGTTGGTGGTGAATGGAGACTACAGGGTAGAGCAGAGAGGCTAGGTCAGCTAGTCTGAGTCTAGGAGTTAGCCATCGAGAGGCTAGGTCAGCTAGTATGAGTCTATGGGTACAGAGATGCTAGTGGAGTTAGCCATCGAGAGGCTAGGTCAACTAGTCGGAGTCTATGGGTACAGAGATGCTAGAGGATTTAGCCATCAAGAGGCTAAGTCAGCTAGCCTGGGTCAATGGCTACAGAGATGCTAGTGGAGTTAGCCATCGAGAGGCTAGGTCAGCTAGTATGAGTCTATGGGTACAGAGATGCTAGTGGAGTTAGCCATCGAGAGGCTAGGTCAACTAGTCGGAGTCTATGGGTACAGAGATGCTAGAGGATTTAGCCATCAAGAGGCTAAGTCAGCTAGCCTGGGTCAATGGCTACAGAGATGCTAGTGGAGTTAGCCATCGAGTGGCTAGCAGAAAGGCATTGGTAGAGTATATTAGTGATGCTAGTGGAGTTCTGTCTCTTACAGCCATAGTAACTGGAGAGAACACCCATCTTATCTAGCACTAAAATCTTGTGCAAAATTATATCAGAAATGTACATCTCGGTTAACCCAGAACTAAAGTATTGCGTAAGTGGTCAGATGTTCGATTAAGTTCTGGGTCCATATGTGTTAAGAGAAGAGATAGAACAAGAATCGGAACTGGAACAAAGAGCTCCACCCTCTTTATGAAAGTTACGGACAAAATATCCCCTCCCTCTTCTGAAATTCAAAATATGCTAAAACCTGCAAAATGGTGATTTGTCCAAAGCACCACAACTAATGATGCTCATTACCTCACGCATCCCGTTGTATAATAATATAATATATAATAATATAATATAATATAATAATAATGTATCAGATCTACCCTACCATTTATGTTTATGTAGTCTGTCCACAAGAGATGAACAGAAAAGACATGGAAAGAGGAAGAAACACAGAAAGAGAAAAGAGAGGAGAGAGAAAGGTGAGCTCATCTCATGAGGGGGTTGAGCCGAGCAGGCGAGTGACGGTGATTGGGTGACACTCGGTGAGTAGGCGTCGCTGGTCCTGGAGACTGATTCTGATTGGAGAATCCTCTGTGAGTGGGCGTGGCCGGTCCTGGAGACTGATTCTGATTGGAGAATCCTCTGTGAGTGGGCGTGGCCGGCCCTGGAGACCGATTCTGATTCTCTCTGTGACTAGGGGAGTAGCCGTGTGTAGGTGTGGAGGGCAGGAACCCCGTCCCTCCTCCCAACCCAGGAGAGGAGGAGAAGAGGCAGGAAGAGGGAGTGGGGGAGGTGGAGAAGGAGCGGTGGATGGGAGAGGAGCAGGGGGAGCAGAGAGGGGAGGTCTGTAGACGCCAGAGGAGCTCCTCGTTGTTGCGGCTCAGTCGTTTCTTCTCACTGCTCTCCTTCTCTACGTTCTCCTGCAGGTTAGCATTCTCCTCGGAGAGTTGCCTGGATGGGGAAGTGAGACAGGGTTACCTGGGGCAGTTTTCAGGAAACTAGGCGTATGTCACACATCACTACCTCACAGGAGAGGCATTTGAACGTAAACTTGTATTTTTTTTTTATCAAAATGCGTTCTGGAACGTGAACTTTCATGTGCCTTAATAACAAACTTGTATGCCACCTGTTAATATGAATAAAATTGTTAAATTACGAGCCTAGTTGGTTTAGCCACGGAAAAAGACAGGAACCTTCCCGCTAGCCATGATTGGCTGAGATAATGGATGGGTTCGGATTGGTCTGCCATGTAGCATGCTTCTGTCTAGAACTTGAGCTGCTCAGTATGTGTAGGTAATCCTTTCTAATGCAGCTTTTTTTTTAAATATATCACAAAGAACTGCAACAAAGAAGTTGACAGAGTTTTGAAATCAGTGGAATGCCCGGTGGGAAGCAGAGTATGATAGCTAAGGATATGGAGAAAATTCTGTCTCCGGATTACATCTTCAAACTAAGGGCAACCATAGCATCCGTGACAGAGAGGGAGAAGCGTCCATCCATGTATACGGGTAAGAGAGTCTAGCTAGCTACATTTTCAGATATTATATGTTTCTAATTTAGTCAGAAAGTCGTATTCATTGCAAGTTAAATCGTACTGTTAGCTAGCTAGCTAACGTTAGCTGGCTGGCTCGCTAGCTAACATTACATGTATGATCTGTGTAGTAATATTATTAGTATCTCAGAAAGCGAACCTAGCTAGTTGGTTACATTTTGTTACCTGCAGATTCATGCATGGTAGTAATGTTATGAGTTGGGATTATGGTTCATTGTTAAGCAAGCTAGCTAGCTATCTACATGTCTAAACAAAATAGTATCCTGTGCATGTGACAAATAAACTTTGATTTTATTTGATATAGTGTGTGTTTACCAGAGACGGTAATGCGAAGAACAGCCTGCATGACCTGCACCGAAGTCAAATTAGGATATAACGTAGTAGCAATATCAAAAACAGAACGTGTCCAGATAAAAATATTGTATAAATATTTTATCATTATTAGATGATGCTTACCCGACACACTTGTCTAAATTGATGGGTCATGTGAAGGAAATACTATAACCACCCCCTAGCCACATCTAGCGAAGTGGATGGGTCACTATTGTCTAGATATGTACACATGTTAATGAAATACAATCGATGGCCGTAATCACCCGCAGACACACCTGCTTATTTGATGGGTCATGTAATAATCCGGCCGAAGTGGAGTCTATTGTTTAGACATGTAGTTAGATAGGTAGCTAGCTAGCTAAACAATGAACCGGCATAACCCCAACTCATACTACTACCAATACAAAACATTGTCATAGCTGTAGTATGAATCTGCAGGTAGCAACAAACTAGGTTCAATGTTAACTAGCTAACATTAGGCTATAACTAGTGCAAAGGGGTTTCTGAATCGAATAATATTACTACACAGATCATACACGTAACATTAGCTAGCGAGCCAGCAAGCTAACATTTTGTTAGCTAACTAACAGTATGCTTTAACTTGCAATAAAAATGACTTTCTGACTAAATTAGAAACGTACATCTGGAAAATTTTGCTAGACTCTTACCCGTATACATGCTTAAAGGCCCTTTTGGTGGATTGCTGCAGAGATGGTTGTCCTTCTGGAAGGTTCTCCCATCTCCACAGAGGAACTCTGGAGCTCTGTCAGAGTGACCATCGGGTTCTTGGTCACCTCCCTGACCAAGGCCCTTCTCCTCCGATTGCAAGATGGCGTAGCAGTGCGGTCGTGTATTCTGTAGTGTGCTCATGTAAATAGCCTGTTTTTTTTGTTTTTTTCGTATATATTATATAAATCTCACTTTTCATCCTTCAACTAAATATACTTTCCTGCAACCCGCCTCACCCAATGTGGAACGGATTCTATTATTTCTTATACCTTTTTATCTAGAACCTCCGGCTGAAACTAGCCAGCTAGCCAGCTAACTAGCTACTTAATATTAGCCACCGTTAGCGGTTTTCACCATTGTCCGTGGCCATTCTGCACATTCTGCACAGCGCGCTATCGACCCAGAACATATCGGATTTTCTGACGGAATCACTGAATCACTGGACCTTAACACCGGATCATCGCAACTAGCTAGCTGCAACCGAATGGATGTTGTTGTTGGCTAATCACCACTGTCCCGAAGCAAGCACCAGGTAGCCTTGAGCTAGCCTCGAGCCAGGCCCATCTCCCGGCTATCTACCTCTCTGTCAACCGGACGGGACCTCCTAGTGTCGACACGGAGCCCCGCTGATCCATCACGACTGGTCTGCCGACGTAATCGTCAGATGTGGTTTCAACAAGCTTCCCGTTGTGACGACCACGAAGATCCATCTGCTAGCCCCGGCCCGCTAGCACACGCAATCAACAGCCGTGCCTCCTGCTCGCCTGTGCTGTAGCAGCCTACGAACTGCTCCTGGACTCACCTATTGCTGTTCACTGGACCTTATGATCACTCAGCTGCACAGCTGATGCCTGCTGGACTGTTCCTTTACACGGTACCCCATCCTGTTTATCTGTTTAGCCTCAGCCCAAACTTTCGTTGCCATTACCAGTTGTTGTCTTAGCTCTCTCGAATAACACCTGTGATTGCTTTATGCCCCTCTCCCATGTCAATATGCCTAGCCTATTGCTGTTTCGGTTAGTTCTTATTATAAAATTTTACTGTAGAGCCCCCAGTCCCGCTCAACCTGCCTCAGATAGCTCCTTTGTCCCACCCCCCATACATGCGGAGACCGGCTCAATCGGTGCCTCCAGTGATGCTATCCCTTTCATCGTCACCCAACGCTTAGGTTTACCTCCACTGTACTCATATCCTTCCATATCCTTGTCTGTACATAATGCCCTGAATCTATTCTACAACGCCCGGAAATCTGCCCCCTTTTATTCTCTGTACCCAACACACTAGAAGACCAGTTCTTAAAGCCTTTAGCCATATCCTTATTCTACTCCTCCTCTGTTCCTCTGGTGATGTAGAGGTTAACCCAGGCCCTGTAGCCCCTAGTATCACTCCAACTCCCCAGGCGCTATCATTTGTTGACTTCTGTAACCGTAAAAGCTTTTGTTTCTTGCATGTTAACATCAGAAGCCTCCTCCCTAAGTTTGAGTTACTCACTGCGTTAGCACACTCCACCAACCCTGATCTTCTAGCAGTGTCTGAATCCTGGCTTAGGAAGGGCACCAACAACTCTGAAATGTCCATCCCCAACTACAAAATCTTCCGTCTAGATAGAACTGCCAAAGGGGGCGGAGTTGCAATCTACTGTAGAGATAGTCTGCAGAGCTCTATCATACTATCCAGGTCTGTGCCCAAACAGTTTGAGCTTCTACTTCTAAAAAACCACCTTTCCAGAAATAAGTCTATCACTGTTGCCGCTTGCTACAGACCCCCCTCAGCCCCGAGCTGTGCCCTGGACACCATATGTGAATTGATTGCCCCCCAACTATCCTCAGAGTTCGTATTGCTTGGTGATCTAAACTGGGATATGCTTAACACCCCGGCCGTCCTACAATCTAAACTAGATGCCCTCAATCTCACACAAATTGTCAAGGAACCTACCAGGTACAACCCTAAATCCGTAAACATGGGCACCCTCATAGACATCATCCTGACTAATTTACCCTCTAAATACACCTCCGCTGTCTTCAACCAGGATCTCAGCGACCACTGCCTCATTGCCTGCGTCCGTAATGGGTCCGTGGTCAAACGACCACCCCTCATCACTGTCAAATGCTCCCTAAAACACTTCAGCGAGCAGGCCTTTCTAATTGACCTGGCCCGGGTATCCTGGATGGATATTGACCTCATTCCATCAGTAGAGGATGCCTGGTTGTTCTTTAAAAGTGCTTTCCTCGCCATCTTAAATAAACATGCCCCATTCAAAAAATTCAGAACTATGGACAGATATAGCCCATGGTTCACCCCGCTTTTTGCAACTTTTCAGGGAAGTCAGGAACCAATATACACAATCAGTTAGGAAAGCAAAGTCTAGCTTTTTCAAACAGAAATGTGCATCCTGTAGCACTAACTCCAAAAAGATTTGGGACACTGTAAAGTCCATGGAGAATAAGAGCACCTCCTCCCAGCTGCCCTCTGCACTGAGGCTAGGAAACATGGTCACCACCGATTAATCTACGATAATCGAGAACTTCAATAAGAACTTTGCTACGGCTGGCCATGCTTTCCACCTGGCTACCCCTACCCCGGCCACCAGCTCTGCACCCTCCACTGCAACTTGCCCATGCCCCCCCTGCTTCTCCTTCACCCAAATTCAGATAAACTGATGTTCTGAAAGAGCTGCAAAATCTGGACCCCTACAAATCAGCTGGGCTAGACAATCTGGACCATTTCTTTCTAAAATTAGCAGCCGAAATTGTAGCAACCCCTATTACTAGCCTGTTCAACCTCTCTTTCGTATCATCTGAGATCACCAGACATTGGAAAGCTGCCGCGGTCATCCCCCTCTTCAAAGGGGGTGACAGTAGATCCAAACATTTACAGACCTATATCCATCCTGCCCTGCCCTTCGAAAGTATTTGAAAGCCAAGTTAACAAACAGATCACCGACCATTTCGAATCCCACCGTACCTTCTTCGCTATGCAATCTGGTTTCCGAGCTGGTCATGGGTGCACCTCAGCCACGCTCAAGGTCCTAAACGATATTATAACCGCGATCGATAAAAGACAGTACTGTGCAGCTGTCTTTATCGACCTGGCCAAGGCTTTCGACTCTGTCAACCACCGCATTCTTATTGGCAGACTAAATAGCCTTGGTTTCTTAAATGACTGCCTCGCCTGGTTCACCAACTACTTCTCAGATGTGTCAAATCGGAGGGCCTGTTGTCTGGACCTCTGGCAATCTCTATGGGGGTGCCACAGGGTTCAATTCTTGGGCCGACTCTATTCTCTGTGTATATCAATGATGTCGCTCTTGCTGCTGGTGACTTTCAGATCCACCTCTACGCGGACGACACCATTTTGTATACATCTGGCCCTTCATTGGACACTGTGTTAACAAACCTCCAAACAAGCTTCAATGCCATACAACACTACTTCCTTATCCTCCAACTGCTCTTAAATGCTAGTAAAACTAAATGCATGCTCTTCAATCGAACGCAGCTTGCACCCGCCCGCCCAATTAGAATCACTACTCTCGGCTGACTATCCTACCGATCCTTGACTTTGGCGATGTCATTTACAAAATAGCCTCCAACACTCTACTTAGCAAATTGGATGTAGTCTATCACAGTGCCATCCATTCTGTCACCAAAGCCCCATATACTACCCACCATTGTGACCTGTACGCTCTCGTTGGCTGGTCCTCACTACATATTCGTTGCCAAACTCACTGGCTCCAGGTCATCTATAAATCACTGTTAGGCAAATCCCCGCCTTATCTTAGCTCATTGGTCACCATAGCAACACCCACCCGTAGTATGCGCTCCAGCAGGTATATCTCACTGGTCATTCCCAAAGCCAACACCTCCTTTGGCCGCCATTCCTTCCAGTTCTCTGCTGCTAATGACTGGAACGAATTGCAAAAATCTCTGAAGCTGGAGACTCTTATCAGCCTCACTAACTTTAAGCATCAGTTGTCAGAGCAGCTTACCGATCACTGCACCTGTACACAGACCATCTGTAATTAGCCCACCCAACTACCTCATCCCCATATTGTTATTTATTTTGCTCATTTGCACCCCGGTATCTCTATTTGCACATTATCTTCTGCACATCTAGCATTCCAGTGTTAATACTAAATTGTAATTAATTTTGCACTATGGCCTATTTATTGCCTTACCTCCATAACTTACTACATTTGCACACACTGTATATATATTTTCTATTATTGACTGTACGTTTTGTTTATTCCATATGTAACTCTGTGTTGTTGTTTTTATCGCACTGCTTTGCTTCATCTTGGCCAGGTCGCACTTGTAAATGAGAACTTGTTCTCAACTGGCTTACCTGGTTAAATAAAGGTTAAATAAAAAAAATTAAAAAATGGCAGACCAATCCAAACTCATCTCCCGGCATGTCCAGCCCATACATTATCTCAGCCAATCATGGCTAGTGGGAAGGTTCCTGTCTTTTTCCGTGGCTAAACCAACTAGGCTCGTAATTTAACAATTTTATTCATATTTATGGATGGAATACAAGTTTGTTATTAAGGCACATGAAACTTCACATGTTCCAGAAGGCATAACATTTTAGCTCTGAGTCTCTACTTTTATCCAATGTGTAAAAAAAACACAATTTCAAATGTTGCTACCTGAAAACCAAATAGAGCCGGTTGGTTACATATTTACATTGGAGTCATTTAGCAGCCGCTCTCATTCAGAGCGACTTACAGTTAGTGAATTCTAATAAAGTACTGTATGTAAGTCAACCACAGTCACTGTAAGTAAGAACTGTCAATGATAACACAGATATCAGTGAAATCTAGGGTTGCAATTCTGGGAACTTTCCCCTCCTGATTCCCGGGGAAATAAGAAAAGGTATGCGCAAGTTGTATTATTATTTGTTATTGTTTTACAGATTTCTAGGAGCAGGTGGGGGGGGGGGGGGGGGGGTGTTACCTGGACAGGGCTAGGTTATTGTCTATACGAGCCATCAGGTGGGGGGGGGGGGGGGGGGGTTGAGGTGTTACCTGGACAGGACTAGGTTATTGTCTATACGAGCCATCAGGTGGGGGGGGGTTTTACCTGGACAGGACTAGGTTTTGTCTATACGAGCCATCAGGTGGGGTGGGGGGGGGTGTTACCTGGACAGGACTAGGTTATTGTCTATGCGAGCCATCAGGTGGGGGTGGGGGGGGGTGTTACCCTGGACAGGACTAGGTTATTGTCTATACGAGCCATCAGGTGGGGGGGGGGGTTACCTGGACAGGACTAGGTTATTGTCTATACGAGCCATCAGGTGGGGGGGGGGGGGGGGGGGGGGGGGGGGGGGGGGGGGTGTTACCTGGACAGGACTAGGTTATTGTCTATACGAGCCATCAGGTGGGGGGGGGGGGGGGGGTGTTACCTGGACAGGGCTAGGTTATTGTCTATACGAGCCATCAGGTGGGGGGGGGGGGGGGGTGTTACCTGGACAGGACTAGGTTATTGTCTATACGAGCCATCAGGTGGGGGGGGGTGTTACCTGGACAGGACTAGGTTATTGTCTATACGAGCCATCAGGTGGGGGGGGGGGGGGGGGGTGTTACCTGGACAGGACTAGGTTATTGTCTATACGAGCCATCAGGTCTTCATTCTGTTGCTGTAGCATCTGCATCCGTTCCTCTAACAAAACGTTCTTCTGGGCCTGCTCAAAAAACACAGAGAGACAATGTCAACTCTACTGTACTCTACGTTCTTCTGGGCCTGCTCAAAAAACACAGAGTCTATGTAATGTACTGTATACTGTCTATGTAATGTTCTGTCTGTGTACTGTACTGTCTGTTACAGTGTGTGTGTGTGTGTGTGTGTGTGTGTGTGACAGCATGTTGAGCCTACCACTCTCTCCAGGTCAGAGATCTTCTTCTCCTGTTGGTGTATCTGGTTGTTCTTCATCTCCACAACATCCTTCAAGCTCTTCAGATCCTCCTCAATGTGCTGGTACGGGGCTAGGGCATCCTATACACACACACACACACACACACATGAACACACACACACACACACACACACACACACACACACGAACACACACTGTGTTATCCCGCAGGGCTGAAGCTTGAACATAAGCTAGGGGAGTGTTCAGTTTCAGGTGAGGTTATTCATAATGCGTTTTTAGTACCCCTATCTGTTCGTCAGTGCTCCTCCTCAGTGCCTCTTCGAAGCGCTTGGCCTTGTCTCTCAGACTACTCTTCTGGAACAACAGGGTATCCACCTGATCCTACACAAACAGTCAATATTAATATACCTCACTGTCCAAACACACCTGTAAACATGTCAATACAATTTTAGAAAAAAGTGTTCCAAAAGGGTTATTTGGCTGTCCCCATATGAGAACCCCTTTTGGTTCCAGATAGAACCCTTTTCGGTTCCATGTAGAACCCTCTGTGGAAAGGCACATTGTATACAGTGGGGGAAAAAAGTATTTAGTCAGCCACCAATTGAGCAAGTTCTCCCACTTAAAAAGATGAGAGAGGCCTGTAATTTTCATCATAGGTACACGTCAACTATGACAGACAAAATGAGAAAAAAAAATCCAGAAAATCACATTGTAGGATTTTTAATGAATTTATATGCAAATTATGGTGGAAAATAAGTATTTGGTCAATAACAAAAGTTTCTCAATACTTTGTTATATACCCTTTGTTGGCAATGACACAGGTCAAACATTTTCTGTAAGTTTTCACAAGGTTTTCACACACTGTTGCTGGTATTTTGGCCCATTCCTCCATGCATATCTCGTCTAGAGCAGTGATGTTTTGGGGCTGTCGCTGGGCAACACAGACTTTCAACTCCCTCCAAAGATTTTCTATGGGGTTGAGATCTGGAGACTGGCTAGGCCACTCCAGGACCTTGAAATGCTTCTTACGAAGCCACTCCATCGTTGCCCAGGCAGTGTGTTTGGGATCATTGTCATGCTGAAAGACCCAGCCACGTTTCATCTTCAATGCCCTTGCTGATGGAAGGAGGTTTTAACTCAAAATCTCACGATACATGGCCCCATTCATTCTTTCCTTTACACGGATTAGTCGTCCTGGTCCCTTTGCAGAAAAACAGCCCCAAAGCATGATGTTTCCACCCCCATGCTTCACAGTAGGTATGGTGTTCTTTGGATGCAACTCAGCATTCTTTGTCCTCCAAACATGACGAGTTGAGTTTTTACTAAAAAGTTATATTTTGGTTTCATCTGACCATATGACATTCTCCCAATCCTCTTCTGGATCATCCAAATGCACTCTAGCAAACTTCAGACGGGCCTGGACATGTACTGGCTTAAGCAGGGGGACACATCTGGCACTGCAGGATTTTAGTCCCTGGCGGCGTAGTGTGTTACTGATGGTAGGCTTTGTTACTTTGGTCCCAGCTCTCTGCAGGTCATTCACTAGGTCCCCCCGTGTGGTTCTGGGATTTTTGCTCACCGTTCTTGTGATCATTTTGACCCCACGGGGTGAGATCTTGCGTGGAGCCCCAGATCGAGGGAGATTATCAGTGGTCTTATATGTCTTCCATTTCCTAATAATTGCTCCCACAGTTGATTTCTTCAAACCAAGCTGCTTACCTATTGCAGATTCAGTCTTCCCAGCCTGGTGCAGGTCTACAATTTTGTTTCTGGTGTCCTTTGACAGCTCTTTGGTCTTGGCCATAGTGGAGTTTGGAGTGTGACTGTTTGAGGTTGTGGACAGGTGTCTTTTATACTGATAACAAGTTCAAACAGGTGCCATTAATACAGGTAACGAGTGGAGGACAGAGGAGCCTCTTAAAGAAGAAGTTACAGGTCTGTGAGAGCCAGATATCTTGCTTGTTTGTAGGTGACCAAATACTTATTTTCCACCATAATTTGCAAATAAATTAATAAAAAATCCTACAATGTGATTTTCTGGAATTTCTTTTCACAATTTGTCTGTCATAGTTGACGTGTACCTATGATGAAAATTACAGGCCTCTCTCATCTTTTTAAGTGGGAGAACTTGCACAATTGGTGGCTGACTAAATACTTTTTTTCCCCACTGTATTTAGTGATCCATTTGATTCTATTAATCAGAATCACATTATATATTTAGTGATCCATTTGATTCCATTAATCAGAATCACATTATATATTTAGTGATCCTTTTGATTCCATTAATCAGAATCACATTATATATTTACTGATCCATTTGAATGAATCTGTGCTTATCTATTCATCTTATCAACTGTTACAGCCGACCCGGGATTCAATCTTCAACTCCCCCCAAAAACGACTCACGAAGCTAGCATGCTGATCGTCAAAACTATGGCGACTTCAAGTTTGACTGTCCTGTTAGCAACTTGACATGTGTGTTTACTATACCTGCAGAGAGAGTCTGAGCTTCTCAAAGTCTTCTTCCAGAGTCACCTTTTGCTGCTCATGAGCCTTCCTTAGGTCTAGAGAGAGAGAGAGAGAGAGAGAGACAGAGAGAGAGAGAGAGAGAGAGACAGAGAGAGAGAGAGAGAGAGAGAGACAGAGAGAGACAGAGACAGAGAGACAGAGAGACAGAGACAGAGACAGAGACAGAGACAGAGAGAAGAGAGAGAGAGAGAGAGAGAGAGAGAGAGAGAGAGAGAGAGAGAGAGAGAGAGAGAGAGAGAGAGAGAGAGAGAGAGAGAGAGAGAGAGAGAAACACGAGAGGATAAGAAAGACGTCATTGAATGTTTTAGGTTTAACTTTCCTTGTTGGGAGAATTCGGACAAGTGGGGTCCCCACAAGGAAAAAGGCTTATTTAGGCTTAGGTGTTAGGTTTAGGATTAGAATTAGGGTTAGAATTAGGGTTTGGGGTTAGGTATAGGAGTTAGGGTTAGGTTAAGGGTTAGGAAAAATAGGATTTTGAATGAGAATCAATTGTTTGGTCCAAACAAGGATAGTAAAACAAAAGTGTGTGTCTTACCCCTCATGGTGCGAGCGTGCTCCTCGTGCAGCGTTGTCATGGTAATGTTGTGCATGTCCCTCAGCTCCTGAATGGCTGCCTCGTGGTTCACCGTCAGCTCATCCATCTGATTGGTTAATTGATTAATTGATTAATCAATTGATTAATTAGTTGATTAATTGGCTGGTTGCTCGATTGATTGATCCATCATCACTTGTACAATTAAGTGAGAAAAAAAAGATGTTCCACCCTTTAATCATCTCCCGAACAATTATCCATGAAGAACTGTATTTCACACAGGATAAACTACATTTCCCATATGCCTAAATG